AATTCTGGGAGTTGAAGTCCATATATCCTAAAGCAAGCTGGCTGGGGGAATTCTGGGAGCTGGAATCCACACACTTTCAAACACACTGATTAAGGAATTCTGGGACTTCACGGCCGCGCATCTTAAAGCAAGCTGGCTGGGGGATTTATTTATTTATTGGAATTTGTCAAACAAAAAGGAGAAGAATAAGAGAATAAAAATACAATGACAGGGAACAATAGGCCCGGCGTTAGTGCACTGATGCTCTCCTCTCTCCACAGCGAATGTCTGCGACGACGAACTCCTCATCTGCCAAAACGGAGGCACTTGCTACGAGAACCAGCGGTGCCTCTGCCCGCCGGGAGCCAAGGGCCTCCTGTGTGAACAAACTAAGTGCGAAGGGGAAGACACAGAGTGCGACTCGGTCTCCGGGACGTATCTCAGCCTCTCGGCCTTCGTGGCCAGCGCGGTGAGCCTACACATGCAACAACTCTTGGACCTCTGAAGGACGAGGAGAGGAGTTGCGTTGTCAAAATCCCACGAGAGGAAGTGAAGAAAGAATTGGGACAACCTGAAAACGTTGCGAGCTCAGAAGAACCATCCTCCAGCCGAGCTGGTTGTCTCTTGGTCCTTGTTGGCCAAGCGTTGAAGGATTCAACAGAAGTTCCCGCTCTTTGCAGATTTTCGGTTGGACATAGTTGAAAGAACCGTAAGAGATACCTGTTATGGGGTCCAGCAAGCCAGGAAAGGATGCCTCAACAGGACTTGGGGGGAAATTGCAAAGCGTTTGCAATTTTCCAACTGTTTCCTCAAGGGGAAAATTGTTCAGAGCTCTCCTTTGCACAGGGGTAGCTTCCGAAAAGGGGTGGGTTTGGGGTAAAATGCCATCGATCATCTTGCATTTATGTTGCACTGCTCTTTCCCTTCCAAATCTCTTCTTCCTCCCAGCCCATTTTTTTTTAAGGAAGATGTTTAGGAAGTAGCTCGGCTAAAAGAAGGAAAATTGAAAGGGAAAGTTGCTGAATTTATTAAGTTTTCATTTTTCTCTCTCTCTCTTTTTTATCACCTTTGGACTTGTTTTTCAGTTTTTATTCTTTGGTTAAGAGTCTTTGGCTTTCAACACTTTTTCTCACGCCAAAAATACATCGCATTCCTTCAGGCTTTGCCGAATAGATTACGGTTCAATTCTTTTCTTTTTTCTTTTTTTTGGTAGAGAATTATATACGTTGGAATTATCAATGTTCTAAAGAAGAGCAGGGAAGGGGAGATAAAAACAAAACCAATCAGGTGTACTACTGCAGCCTTTAGGAAAAGAAAAACCACTTTACCTGAAATATTATGGTGTTATAATCCATTACATAAAAGCAACTTATTAATTGCTGTTAGGTCTCGGATTAGTTTTTCTTCCCAGCGTTGCAGACTGAACTCATCCGTCGGTGGGCATGCTTCCAAAACGATTGTGAAAAGAACAAGTAATACCCACTTTGCACTTCCTGATGCCAAAAATGGTATTAGGGGTTTGTTGAGAGTTTGCACAGGGCTTTCCTTTAAACAGACTTATTAGGATGGTTAGGTGCTCTCAGTTTTTAAACCAGGAACCAACCCTCTGTTTAGCCGAGAGAGGAGAAGTCCTTCAGGCTGGCTGTCTTTGGATAGGAAAACAACAAACTCTTGGACGCACAAAGGACGATCCAGATGGGTAGGACTGAAGCAAGTGTGTGTGTGTGGGGGTGTACTCTGCAAGGAATATAAACCCTTCTATCTTCCACTTCAGTTCAGTCAGAACTGAAGAAGCTTCTTGGATGAGAAGCGAAATGTCTTCAAGGAAAAAACAAAGGCCAATGGCCTTTTTTTTTTTGAGGGGGGGAGGAAGCACTTCTGGGATTCCAGATCTATAGGGGCTACTCCACTTGCTGTGCAAAGGACGGGGGATCTGGGCGTAGCTTTTTTGCTTGGGGAGAAACTGGCACACAGAAGCTAATTCCCCTGCTCCAATGAGACAAGGCTCTGATCCAAAACCCTGGGGGGGGGGGGGGGAAATCCTCACTTAATTCGCTCTCACTCTAATTCACAAGTCCCTAACTCACCCTTCGAAAGCACGAATCAGAGAAAGCCAAGTGTATGTTTGAAAATACAACCTGAATTATTTATTTAGGGGAAGAAGGGGGAAAGATCTTTTTAAAAAGGTCCGTTTTAATGTATTTACATTTAGGATTCATAACAGAAGGGTATATGTATGTACGTACGTATGTAAAGGATATATCTATTATATATATATATATATATGTATATATATATAATGTATGTATATGTATAAACACAACTTTTTATCAAACCCAAGTGAAAATGTCCAGAGTTGAGTAGCAGTGAGAATTAAGCAGCTTTTGCCCTCCCCCCCCCTTGTGCTTGGGATCCTCCTCCCCAAATATTTGAGAGGAAAAGACACCCCCCGGGGAGGGGGGGGGGTTGTCAAAATTACAAACTGCCAAATTGCAAGACTTTAATATAAGATCAGGTTTACCACGGAGTAGTGGGAAGGCAAAGGGAGAGGGACTCCACCCCCCCCGCCAAGCCCAGTTGAGATGGTAACCCAAATCTTTCCGCATCTTTGCAAAAAAAATCAAAACGAAACACAAAACAAAACCAAACCAAAGCAGAGGCACTTTGATCAGAAAACGGGCGAGGGAGGTCACTGCAGAATCTCTCCGCTCATGGAGACCGGAAGTTATTTTGCCATTTGCGCAAATGGATGGTGGTGCTACAAAAACCCCCCCCCCCCCCAAACCCCCTTTTGTACCCCGAAAGAACCAGCCTTGAAATAAAAGCCGGGTTTCAGGCCTGGGTTCTAGGAGGGGCTTGTGGAAGGGGGGGGCAGCTCCCCCACGTATCAAGGAGGGTGACTGACGAAGTCCTGGACTGACGGGCGCCTGCACCGCTCAATAGGACGCTGTACACACGGAAGCGTTTAATGGCCACTCGGGTTTCCTTGCCTCTAAAAAATAAAGCTTTTCTTGGCTATACAAATGTACACGGCCCCCGTAAGGCCTTGGCGGAGTTTGGAGTCCTCCGAAGAGATGGCTGTTTCCAGGAGCAGCTGCCTCCTCCTGTGTCAGGGTTGTATGGATGCACATAGACCCGGGCGTGCAAAGAAACACACTCTCTCTCTCTCTCTCTCCCTCTAAGTCTTCCAGGCAAGAGGTGGTGGGAAGACTCGAATACAAGACGCCTGGCAAAGAATGGGGGCAGTCTTGGGAGGTCAGAAAGTGGTACGCCTCCTCTTGGGCTCAACAGGGTCGTCCTTCTCCTGGGGGGCCTCCAGTATCTGCCCGGGATAACTGGGGTGGTTTTTCCAGTTCAGGAGGTAGCGCCTCTGGTCAAAGGCCTTGGTGGAGGGGGGGGCACTGCTCGGCAGAGGGGGGACAGGCACGGGTGTAACGCGGCTCGGTGTTTCCCCCCGGGTGCCCGCGGAATTGCTACGGCTCTGAAGGGCGCAAGGTCCCGATTTCGGGGCTGACGAGGGTCCCAAGGCAGGAGCTCGACCCTCCTGGTGGTTGGGGGCTTTTAATGCCGTCTTGGCGTGCCTGAGTAGCCGGGGGTCCTGCGGTCTGTCCTGGATTGGCTTGACCTGCGCCACGGGGGGCGGCCAATGGTTGAGTGTCTCTTGAGGAGTCCTTTTGCCGGCCAGAGTAGGGAGCGGGATGGGAGGGCGCTGGAGGGGGGCTGGGCTGGGGAGGAGCGCCTGGGGTTTGGCTCTGCCGGGGGCCGCCGGGACTTCGTGGGCGCCTCTTTGTAGGTTTGCCGCCACTCCGGCGCGGGAAAGCAGCCTGGATTTGAGGATTTTCGTGGCGCAGGTTTTGTAAGTCTTCTCGGAGGTCCGGACAATGTTGCCTCTGCGTTGGGCGTCCTGGATCATCTCGTTCCAGTCTCCGTTCTCCTGCGAAGAACCAAGGTGGGCAAAAGTCACGCGAAACCCTCCCCCTCCTGGTCGGTCTCCAAGCCCAGCTGAGTCCCTAAATCCAGGTCTTCGGGCTCTTCTCCGAAACAGGGAGGGGCGGCCCCCTGACCTTAGCGGGGCACCCGGACCTCTGGAAGGAGGCAAGACCCCTTTAACCGCCCAACTGTCGAGCAAAAGGGGTCTGCAACCCTCCACACTCCAAGAGCCATTTGGACCCGTTTCCCACAGAAACGGAAACACCGGGAGCCTCAAAACCTGGGTGGGCGTGGCCAACTCATTTAACAACGGGAGCGATTCACTTAACGAGAAAGCGGCAACAATAGGCGGTAAAATGGGGGGGGGAGACTCATTTCGCGAATGACTCGCTGAGCAGTGGGAAATTTTGGGCTCAACGGTGGTCGTAAGTCAAGGACTACCAGGATCTAACTCCATCAGCCACCTCCCAAGTCAGACACCGTTATCCGGTTCTCATTTATTCCCAAACAGGAACAACAGAAATTGCCCTCCCTTAAAGCCCCGTTTCGCCCTTTTCCCCCGCTTACCATGAGCGTTTTCAGCTTCCCAAGAATGAAGAGGCTGTATTTGGCTCGGGTGATAGTGACGTTCAGGCGCTGTAGGCTTTTCAGGAACCTGGAGAGGGGCGGAGAAAAGGGCACCACAAGGTAATAATAATACTTCATTGTCATTGTACGTATATACACAGCATACGCATACAATGAAATTGACGTAACACCCAGAGACCAGACCCGACATGCACGCACACATGACAATCCCCAAACACATCCCCACCCACCAAATTTCCCTGCCCCCTAAGACCTCCCAGGTCCCTTCTGTTATGCTGTTATTCTGCATAACCCTAAATGGAGACTTACCCCCACGAAACGCCATGGGGCATTGCCTCAGGTGCCATTTTTAAGCCGCCTGCCTTGGGACTTTGGTGGCCGCTTTATCGGTGCCGCCGGGATTCCTATCTTAATTTCGAACCCGGGTCGGCCTGATCGGAGACGGCAGTGCAGGGAGAAGGGGGGGAGGAGGAGGAGGAGGAGAAACGGAGCGCAGGAAGGCGCCGAGACTTTGAAACACCTTCCCCGCACGACCCACCTAGAGGCTTGACGCTGTTCTGATTCATGCGCAAAAACTCTGATTAATATTTCACGCGGGGCCTGAATATTTCATTCGTTCCAAAGGTGACTTGCGAAACGGGAACACGCCAGGAAGGCGAGTGTGACTTCCCCCCCCACCCGCCTCCTTCTTCTTGGAGTAAAGCTGTTAAACCAAAAGCTAAAAGGCAAGGACTTGTATTCGAAACACGGGGGTTAGGTCTGGCCTGAGGGAACGAGGTTCTCGGGATGGAGGTTGATTCTTTTTTTTTTTAAAGCCCTGGATTCTAAGAAGGCGGGGATGATGGATCCGAAGTTCACGGGGGAGCCGAACTAGAGGCTTGTATGGACTTTCCTGAACTTACAAGCCAGTTAGGTCTAGCGGTTAAGGCGTCAGATTAGAGGAGGACCCTGACACCAGGAGACAATAAATTCTAGCCCCCCCTTAGCCATGAAAGCCGGCTGGGTGACTCTGCGCCGGTCACCGGAGACTGGGAATTCTACTCCTAGCTAGGGAATTCTGGGAGTTGAAGTCTGCCCACCTAGGAGGGCCTTTGATTTGAGAAACAGGGCTTTCTGCAGAGAGGCCGCCCAGCTACCCGTTTCATCCACCGCTCTTAGCTGCCCCCTGGTGACCGCCAAGCCGGCTGCTTCGGATCGCTACGGGAGAAGGCAGAGAGGGCTTTGGAGCCTAGAAACGTGGGGACGGAGCCGCTCCCTGGAAGCACAGAGGGGAGGGCAGATCTCTTGACCTTGAGGAGCCCAAGCGGAAAACCCTGGTTTGTTCAGGAGGGTCTCTACTCTGCTGGAAGAGCTGCCTACTCAGGACTTTGGGGAGGTGGAAACGAGGCAATTTGCTTTAGAATAAAACAGAACAGGAATAGAGTAGAGTAGAATAGAATAGAATAGA